CTAACACCCTGCCCCACACGCACTGTCTAGGCAACAGGTAAGCACAAGTGGGATTCGTTCCTGAACGGTGCCCCCCCACCCGTTTAGGCAATAGTTGGCACATGTGGGAAAAAAAGAAATAAATATTTTAAAAGATAATAAAATATTTTATCTACGTAAAATTGTAAAAATAATCTAATAATTAATATTCTAATTAATATAAGACATCTATAATTATCTTGAATATATATAAGTCTATAATCTATAAATATATTAAGTCGTATGAGCCCTAATCCGCGAGGATTTTACTGTAGTGTTTCTATTCTGTGAAATTTTTGCGAGGAGCACACGCACGCACCGGTATTCCTTGCATTCGTCTTCCGTCATTTTTAGCTGCTGGTCTAGTTGATCTAACAGTGTGTCCGTGCATTCCTGCAATCGCAAGTGATACAATCGAGACCTGTAACGTTCATATTACCGAAAATAGACGAGACACGAATTTATAGATTAGTTATAAATATATATGTGGTTGGCTAAGTTATCTGTATTTGATATCACACAAAATCTTCTTTAAACAAGAGCTGAAACCTCCATCACTCAATTAAGCGCAGCATGAAAGGCAATCACATGGTGGGCGACTAAACATGCTTTTCCTTTTAATTTTAGTTATTCATTTAACAGATGATTATCAATGCATATTTCACAGAGAATATATGCATAAACAAAATATGCGGCTAGATAACTACCAAGGATAAACAAACATGAAGCACGACTGGCACACTTAATCACACTGTCATCCTTAACAACTACATGCTACTAAATCGTACAACATGGCTTGCTCGATGGAGCCCCAGACTTCCGCGATTACCTCGCAGAGTGGATGGTCGACGTCCGATTGCTCGGTTATGATGTCGAACAGACGGGCGGTGATGCCAAACTGGTGGCTCAGTGTCCCCATGTGGCTGTTTGTCGACGACCCTTTCTCCACCAGCATGAATTCGTTCCCGCTGTCCACCGACGAATGCCTGCACGGTTGTGAAAAACAGTATTTTATTTTATCTATCTAGGTTAATTTTTACTCAACCGTGCTGATTAGAACGTACTTACTGCTGACGTTTCGCCTCCTATCAGGAGGCTTTCTCAAAGCTGACCACTACACCATCTGGTGGTCAAATCTGATAACTTCAGTCAGCTTTGAGAAAGCCTCCTGATAGGAAGCGAAACGTCAGCAGTACGTTTTGATCAACACGGTTGAGTAAAAATTAACCAAGACAGATCTATTACCTACCAACCGAATGAACTTATTTAATGAGTATTTTATTTACATGGAAAAGTTATTTACTGCAAATCCGGTTTGATGCTGACAATAAGTATTCGGAATGTGAAGGAGACGAAATGGCAATGCACAGTCTCAATAGTCAGCAACTCTAATTTATGGATTTTAGCATCTGGTATTCGACATTTGTATGCGACGAGGGCCGCCTTACCCTGGTGACGGCCCGATGTTTTGCTTCCACAAAGCCTCTGGTTGGCCATCTTCAGGTAACTTGTCTGTAGGTGGTACATGATCACGTGTGCCCGTCGACCCTTGATTTCTGGTAGCTCTTGCTGCCGGAACTTCAACGAAAATGTACGTCACACTAGTAAACGCACAGTCAAACTTTCTCCTTTGAACTCTTGCACACCATGGGCCCAATCCTATTTGAGCATCACGGATTAGTTTTGCGCACATGCAAACTATATATATATACCGGAGTACCAAACCTAGGATTGAGCACACATGAGTTACTGCGCGTAGCATTGTAATTGTAAATTGTATTAAAATGGGTTAAGGTTACACCAGTTTTGATTTCAGTCATACGTGAGCATGATACGATTTACGAGTCTCAAAAAGTCACACGTCAAAAACGCGTCAAAATTCTTGTTGTTGCTCTACTCTGGCTAGAAGCAATAACCTGACGGGCAACACAATATTTGGGTTAGTACTTAGTTTTGTTGCGAATACATTATTGAATATTGTACCTATGTTCTGACGACGAACTGATTTCCTTTTTACAGCCAGCTGTAATACTGATTACAATTGTCGTAAATTGACTGGTGTGCGCATCACAACAACGTGGCTATTGTAACGTGTGATTGTTAAAAGGAAAGACAAGTACACCGCACGCCCGCCCTGTGAACAAACAACATGAATAAGAGATGAAAGTGTCAATGACACTGTAGCTCACCACAAAAAAGGACACAAATGAGTGAGTAAGAAGAAGTCAGTTTTAATTGAGCAAGCATCGACGTACATTATAGAAACGATTGCCATCTGTATATCGCAATAATAATTTATAAACCAAAATGAATCACAATTTGTGACCGTAGATGGCGCTATACACGCTTTGTTAGTGATGTGCGTTTTGAAATAAATACGTTCATGCTCGTTGCCGACATGTTTTGTAACAACTTTACTCTAATATAGACGTTTTATCGGCAGGGTGGAGAGGAAAATATACCATTTTGCCATTAAAGATATTGTCAATGAAATCTTTTAAAACGAACCAGACGAGTGTGACACCACAGACTGTTTGTCTATATAAATATGCTATCATAATTGCGAAACCCTACCTAATTTGCCATAAATTTTTTTTTAAATATCAAAACCCCTAGCCCTTATTCATTCACATACCAAAAATGAGCAAAATCCGTTGAACCTGAACTGACTAATAGCAATTCCTATTTTGCCCAAAAATGCCGTGGCTCGAAAGTACGTCGACTGCGGTGCCTCAATAAGGACGTTTAATATGGGGCATAGCAGTAACAACTATACCCAATTTCAAACATGTGGTCAAACGGTTCCTGACTGAGTTATCGTTGACCGTAGCCGAAATGTTAAACGGACGGACGGACGCGACGCACGTACGTACGCGGACGACGACCATGGCAATACGCTCAGCTTGACGATGTCAAGGTGAGCTAATTATGCTTATTTATGTTGTTTGTGCACAGGGCGGGTAACCCGACCAGTGCTGGTGCTGACTAACGTCAATACACCGGCCTGACATCCATCCATTGAAAAATCTGTAGCTGTACAAAGAAACTACGCGAAGGCAATTACGTATATCTCAAATAAAAGTGATCATCTAAAGATTCTTCTGCTGTTTTGTATCAAATATAACCTTCACCTTATACGTATTCCAGCGTTGTTATGTAAAACTAATACCTCAGTTTGCTGTGCACCAGTGTAACAATTTGCAAGAGCCAAACCGAATTTCAACTAAACGCCACCGCCATGTTGCAATGCGCATGATTTCGTCGAACGGCCAAGGGCGGAAAACCCGAAACACATTAACATACCATAGCGTTCTACTCTTGCGTTGGCGCGAGCAATAAGAAGATCATATACTCCTGTAATATATAAATATTAAAACATGAAAACCAGGAATACGTCAATATACAACAACTTAATATAATCATTGCCGCGAAGATATGTACTTGCGCGTGTTTTGGCCTACGCACTGTGAAAATCAGGTCGCATGCCGATTTTAGTTGCAGCCTGAACATGGCAGACATGCGCGGCTGGCTGTTGTTTTGATCCAATTAATCTCAGAAAAACGGCATAAACTCAATAAAAGTAAGCCGCCCAGTAGCGCGCCAGTTACGCGAGCAAGCCAGAGGTTTATAGATTCGTTGTGAGCTATTACATGTGACGCGTAGCTGTGTCGAATGGTTGGATACGGCGAGCCAAACTAAAGGAATTTGGGGCAAGAATTTGAAACGGTATCTAACGCTCGTAGGTGTCTATGTCCCCCTGACCTCTGTTTGACCTGGCTCGTTTAGCTATTTCTGACTAACCCTACCCTAACCTATAACCCTAACCCTATATAATATTATAATATTATATATAATATATATATATTAGTCAGAAATAGCTAAACGAGCGAGGTCAAACAGAGGTCAGGGGGACATAGAACCTTATCTGCGTATCTAACCCTAGCAATACCGTTTCTTGGAGCTAAGGCGGGCGTGCGCGGTGTACTAGTTGTGTGGTTGCAGTCTTGCAGATGAGCATTTGACCGCGCATTTACGGGTAATTATCGGCGATTTATAGGCGAAATGGAGTAGAGAAACATTAAGACTTTAGTAGTAAATACATTTCGTATTAAAAATTTTTATTTTATTGAGACGTTCCAAGTGCCTGAGTGAGTCAGTGACTGAGTCAGTGAGTGAGTGTGATACACAACCCAACGCCGACGGGTCGTAGCTTCCCAACAACACCTGGATTTTACCTTGCGTTCAGACGCTTACCATTCAGATCCGCTAGAATCTTCTCGTCCACGGCATTAAACGAGGAATCTAACTGAAGCGGCTGGAAGCATTTTTGGCACAGAAATATCGGTTTCAACGCTGGAATGACAGAACCTACATCTGTTGTTGACATTTTTCCTTCTACTATCTTATGGGTTCGTGGCGCCATCTGTGGGAGAGATTGCGAAAACTCAGAGTAAATTCCACAGAAATCTGAGACGCTCTATTATGATCCGAATTTCACTTGAAAGTTCAACGTTACATTGTATTTTTGTCCTCGTATTAGTATGCTTAGTTTCAAAAATACATTTATGTATAATGTATAAAATGAATAATGTATCCGCATATTCCCAGTATAAAAATTGCCGTGGTGATATTAATGACATCCTACAAAATTATGTGCAATCAATATTTTTATTCGGTAAAAGACATAACCGTGATTTCATATATAAAGTAACATATATCAATTTTACTTTCTTTCTGTACGCGGTTTAGAAATCTGTCAGGTGTGACCTCAAATCTGATCTATATATAATATTATATACAACATAATAGGATTACATATAGATCAGTAATCCTCCACCTTTCCGAAAACAGCTGGTGCCACTAACTTTTCATGTGCTTATATTAATTTCTACCCCGCGTTATATTAATTAAACGAGCACAGTTCCACAGCAGCCAGTACTGCGAAACAAGATTTTCATCTTCTTCTGCGTCGAAACAACCAGCAACCCGTCTAACCAGTAGGTGGCACCACATGACAAGTAATAAGTGCTAACAGCTCGGACACCTACAAATAATATAGGTAGACTCTCTATAATAGGTGGACTCTCTAGGTGTCTCTATTTCTATGCTCGGACACCACACCTTTGATAATATATATGCAAACTTAATGATAAAAAATAAAATTAGGAATGCCTTGCAGATGGGCATGATGTGTGGAACGTGTTACTTTAATCAGGGAATTTACTACAAGGCTATGATATTCAAGCTTCTATAGTGATATGTCTATGACATAACTATATAGGTATCACATGATTAGCCATAGCAAAACACTTTTAAGTACAACAACACTACAAGGCCACTGCAATTGGTGAGATCACGCAATAATCCTAGTCTAGCACGACTAAAACGCTGAAACGTGGAATATATCGATTAAGTAATGAAATATCACATATATGCTGCAATGACATCAGCATCATTGACAACATGGCATTACATACATAATATGATTGCATTGAAAGTCTATTATAATCTTCACATTATCTCGTGAGGAACATTACTTTGACAATAATTGCTCGATCTTACGCATGTAACGATAACATGGATGTCAAATAAATAGTAACATCATATATAATACAATAAATGCAAATAGTTTAGCATTCACATTTTGATCCATATCCTACCCACCTTCTCCAATCTAGAACTACCCTACCCATCTGAGCCAGACCACCTTGAATACCGTTACAAGGTCAGCCAGCTTACATGCGTTTTTTTTTCTAGCGAGTACGCTAAATCGTCGACTCTGTTGCCAAGCATTATGTTTTAGAACATCATACAACAGCAATGAGAGGTTAGAGCTGCCTGTTAATTTAAGGCAGGTGGATCAGTGGTGAAACGGTGAGAAGAATAGAATCACATATACATATATATATATATATATATATATGACAAAGACTCCCTCGCCCGGTGACCCCTCCACGACCTCGCTCACTCGCCTGGCAACCCCTCTGCAACCTCGCTCACTCGCCCGGCGACCCCTCGCAGCTCCCTCGCCCGGTGACCCCTCGCAGCTCCCTCGCCCGGTGACCCCTCCACGACCTCGCTCACTCACCTGGCGACCCCTCCGCTCACTCGCTCACTCGCCCGGCGACCCCTTCGCGACTTCGACGCCCGCGGCGGCAAACGCCTCGTCCAGCGCGCGCTCCATCAGCGCGTTGACGCCCCGCAGACCTCGCACGACGCGCTCGGCCCACGCCACGTACTCGGCGACGCGCGCCGCGTCCCAGCCAGCCGGCGTCGCGCGCGCTAGGTCGCGCACGTTGTACAGCTTGTCGGCGAGCTTGACGAGCTTCGCGCCGCGGCTCGCGTGCGCCGCGTGCGCCACCTGCTGGCGCTTTCGCTCGGCCTTCGGCAGCGACTTGTCGTCGGTGACCTCGGCGACGATGGCGCAGACGCGCGCGCCGAAGACGCTCTCGATCTCGGCGAGCGACGTGTCCGTGTCCTCGACGGTGTCGTGCAGCAGCGCTGCCTGGAAACAAGAGAGCGCGAGTATCTTATAAATGATGGTATTATATATATATATATTATATAACAAATTTAAAAAATAGGTAAAGGGTGTTTAAATTTTAATCAGCGAGCTTTCGACACGTACATCTCTTCCTCCGGCTGCCAGCCGACATGTCAATTCAATCTCATTCATTGTCACTTAAAAACCTGAGGTAGAGATGTATGTCTCGAAAGTTCGCTGATTAAAATTTAAACACCCTTTACCTATTTATATATATATATATATATATATATTATGGATTATTTAAATATGGTATATAGTGATAGAAACAAGAGAGCGCAATTATCTTATGAAGGATGGTATTATAAATATAGGCCCCCTATATATACATAATATATTATGGATTATTCAAGGATGGTATATAGTGTGATGTGCTGTGGTGTGGCGAAAACAAACGCCGCCACGAAATGAGAGAGCAAGTGTAAGACAGTGTAAGTGTGGGCGCGCGTGGCGTTGTGTGGTAAAAACAAAATCTGCAAAAGGAGAGCACGGGTGTGGGATGGTATATTATAGTGTGGTGTGTTGTGGTGCAGTGAAAATAAACACTACCAAGAAACAGGAGAGCGCAGGTACGTGGCAGCTTGTTATGATGCAAGTGGTTAGGGGGACATCCCATCGTCATGTGAATTTCATGAACTTTGGATTGACCATACCTGTATCACATCAGTGTCTGTCACGTTTCCTTCATTCGTCAAAATGTATGCTACACCTAAAACACAAAAAGTGTGCCCGATACAGTTATCCGCTAGTGTGTTACCAGGACACCAACCCACTTATCCAATGCTAGGTTATACTATGCGAAGCCCAATCCTAGTTTAGCACATTTGCGAAAACAGATTTACGCGGTGCCAAACTAGGATTGCACTCTATGCTATTGGCGGCAGGGGTCCCCGATGTGTGCTCCTGGTAGTGGTAACACTCTTACCCAATGACCTATATTTACTCCGATTTCGGGCCGAGAGAGACTCCGCACTGCAAGGTTACGAGGCCCAAGCCTAGTTTAGCAACCCGGATTAGTTTAGCACATGCACACATGCGAAAACACATGTGCGGGGTCCCAACCTAGTATCCTTGATTCGGATTTGGTTTACTCACTCACTACTCGTAACTCAGTACCGGTGTCACGGTCTGAGATTACCCCCAGTCTGAAATTACCCCTAGCACCTC